TATTATATATTATTATATATTATATTATATTATATTATATTATATTATATTATATTATATTATATTATATTATATTATTATAATATTATATTATAATATAATATATTACATTACATTACATTACATTACATTACATTACATTAGATTACATTATTATTATTAGATTAGATCAGATTAGATTATTATTAGATTAGATTAAATACTATATATTATATTATATTATATTATATTATATTATATTATATTATATTATATTAGATTAGATTAGATTAGATTAGATTAGATTAGATCAGATCAGTGATGGCTAACCTATGACACGCGTGTCACTCATGACACGCCGAGGCACTTTGACTGACACGCCTGTTGGTCCGCTCGGGAGGAGGGGGAGGAGGAGGTGGTGGCGGCTCGCGTTGTTTTCTGAGCCCGCGAGCCTAGAGCCAGGGCGCTTTCATTGCACGGCGGCGGAGCTTCTTGTCTCGGGAAACACTGGGCGTCTTTGCTGCCCCCTGAGGGGAGGGCAATTCTGGGCTGCGCGATGGGGGGACTTCGTGGCTTTGGGTGGGTGGGAGCGAGGACGTTGACTTTAAGCGCTGCCGACCGACCGAGCGTTTCACAAATACCAGTGGGACCTCCGTCCACCACCAACCCTCCCTCTTTTGCCTCCATCAATCAGGTTTTCCCAGTATTTGCTCACAGCTGCGTTTTCTCTTCCGCCGTGCCAGGCGTTGAACGCGGGGATTTCTGATTCCCCTTACACGCGCGTGGATAATGCCGCGGGGGGCGTTTTCTTCCAAAGGCCCCACGGGCAGAGAACACTGACTTTCATGATAGTGAGATCGTTTCCCAAATTAATTGATTCACTAACCCAAAAGAAGAAGATGATGATGATGACAGTGGGAGGCAGGAGTCACAATTTTTTCCCTCAACATACTTTTGTGAGACCTTATTCTCAGCATTAAATAATATTAACACAAATAAAAGAAACAGACTGACAGATGAAGTTAGTAGTGCTCGCTGGGCCCTGAAGGGCACAAAATACAACCCTGCAATTGAAGATTTAGCAAATGCAATTCAGCAACAGAAAAGTCAGTAAGGTAAATCATTATTTGTTTTTTGCTTTTTGAACTAATAAATATAATAAATATATTAAAAATATAACTCTTTCTTTATTAGGGCTGCAAATATTACCAAATTATTGATATTTCTTCACACACGACCCGAGGAAGGCTACACTTTTTCCCGATTTTCGACACACCAAGCTGAAAAGGTTAGCCATCACTGGATTAGATTATACTGTATTATATTATATTCTATTAGATTAGATTAGATTAGACTAGATTAGATTAGATTATTATTAGATTATATTATTATATTAGATTATAATATTATTATTAGATTAGATTAAATTAGATTACTATTATTATATTATACTGTATTATATTATAGTACATTACATTACATTATTATTACATTACATTACATTAGACTAGATTAGATTAGATTATTATTAGATTAGATTATTATATTATATTATATTAGATTAGATTATACTATATTATATTATACTGTGTTATATTATATTATACTGTATTATATTATATTACATTACATTACATTACATTAGACTAGAATAGATTAAATTAACAGAATTGGAAGGGACCTTGTAGGTCATCTAGTCCAACCCCCCCCCCCAAGCAGGAGACTACACCAGTCATGGCTAACCTTTTTCGGCTCCCATGCCGATAATTGCATGTGCGCTCGCTTGCGTGTGCTCGCATGCCAACACCCAGAAGGCAATGCATGCTGGGCCCCTCCCCACACCCCCTGCGCAAGCGTGCGCCTGCTCATGCACCATGCCTCTGCGCATGCACGCACAATTTTCCCCTCGCGTGCTGCGAGTCTCTGCACATGCATGCGCGATTCCCCCTCGCACACCACACATCTGCGCATACGCGAGATTCCCCCCTTGTGCGCTGCATGTCTTTGCACATGCACACCCAATTCCTTCCTCGTCAGCCACACATCTTTGCGCATGCACACGCAATTCCCCCTTGTGTGCCACACATCTGCGCATGTGCACACAATTTTCCCCTCACGTGCTGTGCGTCTCTGGGCAGGTACGTGCAATTTTTCCCACAATCACTGCGCGCATGCGCACAATTCCTCCTTGTGCACTGCACATCTTTGCGCATGCGAGCATGATTCCTTCCTCGTGTGCCACACATCTTTGTGCATGCACACGCGATTCCCCCTCGCATGCCGCACATCGGCACATGTGCGCACAATTTTCCCCTCAAGTGCTGTGCGTCTCTGCACATGCATGTGCAATTTTTCCCTCATGCACCACATGCATGCGCAATGCTCACGATTCACCCTCATGCACTGCGCATCTTTGCGCATGCAATCATGATTCCTTCCTCGTGCGCCACGCATCTTTGCACATGCGCACGTGATTCCCCCTTGCGTGCAGCGTGTCTGTGCATGCGTGCACAATTCCCCCCTCACGCAAAGCATGTCTGGGCATGTGTGCATGATCCTCTCATGTGCAGCATGCCCCTGCGCATGCCTCTTCCATGCACCGCCCCTCCACCCACTGCCAGATACCCGACAATCAGCTATCAGGCGGCGGTGTGCACATACATACGCAGTGGGGCTCTTCCGGGCGACCTCTCGCGTGCCGGGGAAAATGCAGGGGTGGGATTCAATTTTTTTAACAACCGGTTCTGTGGGTGTGGCTTAGTTGGTGGGTGTGGCTTGGTGGTCATGTGACTGGGTGGACATGGCTTGGTGGTCATGTTATTGGCTGGGCGTGGCCAACTCAACATCACTCACATCGAGGCACGCATCTCCTCGCCTGGCCTCTCATGACTGTGGGGATGCTGCAACAGTCGTAGGTGTGAAAAATGGTCATAAGTCACTTTTTTCCGTGCCATTGTAACTTTGAATGGTCACTCCACACAAGCAAAGTACCAGCAAAGGAGGGGGGGAAAAACTCCAGAGAAGTTCCTGAGACAGGAAGTCTAGTCCTGCCAAGAATGGAATAAGGGTTACCGGAGAGGCAGTTTCTGTAAGCAACACCAGAATGTTTCCTTCCTGCCTTCCTTACAGGATTAGCCCTGCAATTTCTTCTAACAACCAGTTCTCAGAACTGCTTAGAAGGTTAACAACCGGTTCTAGCAAATAGGTGCGAACTGGTAGAATCCCACCCCTGGGAAAGTGCTTTGCGTGCCACTTCCACCACGCGTGGCATAGGTTCGCCAACATGGCCCCACACCATTTCTGACAAATGGCAGGAACAGTCCTCGATTTATAACCCGCAATTGAGCCCAAAATGTATGCCGCTAAATGAGAAAGCCGGACAGTTAAGTGAGTTTTGTCCCATTTTACCTTTATTGCCACCATCGTTAAGCAAATCACTGCAGTCGTTAAGTGAGTCACATGGTCGTTAAGTGAGTCTGGCTTCCCTGTGAACTTTGCTTGCTGCAAGGTCGCCAAAGAGGATCACGTGACACCCCCCTGGGATGCTGCGACCGTCATAACTGTGAGTCAGTTGCCAAGCGTCCAAGTTTTGATCAAGTGGCCATGGGGATGTGGCAAGGGTTGTAAGCGTGAGAAATGGTCGTAAGTCACTTTTCTCAGTGTCATCGTAACATCGAACAGTCCCTAATGGTATCCTTGACATTTTTAGTGACTGTTCAAAGTCACCAAAAAGTGACTTATGACCGTGACTCACACTTATGATCATTGCAGCGCCCCCAGGGTCACATGATAAAAATTCAGATGCTTGGAAACTGACTCGTACTTATGACGGTTGCCATTGACTTTCCGACAAGCAAAGTCAGTGGGGAAGCCAGATTTAATTAACAACTATTTAACTGATTTAACAACTGCATGATTCACTTAACAACGGTGGCAAGAAAGGATGTAAAATGGCGCAAAACTCACTCATGGTTCACTTAGTGACATACATTTTGAGCTCAATTGTGGTCGTAAGTCAAGGACTAGCTGTATAAGCCCTTCAAGACACATGCTTTTTGCTGAATGGTTAGGGAAGGGAAGAAAATGCAATTATTAAAGGTATAAATTGAACCTTCCATGGAGTTTTTATTAATTACTAGCTTGATACTCTTGCTTTGCTACGAAACTATGTGGTCGGGGCTTAGTTTCTGGAGAGGAAAATAAGGGGGAAATAATTCTTCCTCTGCCTACAAGCATCCATCGGTATTCATCTGGCTAGCGTCCTGTCAGTGTGTGAGAGAGTTGAGGGCTGTTTGGAAACTGAAACCGCATTTGCTGTGTGAGCAAGGAGGAGACAGCAAGGAGCCTGGGCGTGGCTTAGCTCAACTGTTCTGTACTAAAGCTGCTTGGTGCTGTAAAACTGAAACTCCTCTGCTTGTGTTTTGCATTCGGAGCACATTTCTTCTCAGGTGGGGAGGGGGAGTAGAACTCCTTAGCATCAGAGCGTGTTAATAATAATAATAATATAGGAAATACTCTAAATGCTCTGAGGGTCATTTCACAAAATCCTTTCTTAGTGAGCACCTAGAAGCAAAGAGGAACCAAATTTCGAGTTTGTTGGCTTTACGGTTCTGGAGATTTTGTGATGCTGCATGAGTGGTAATTTCGCTTTTATATATATTATATATAAAATTCATATATATAAATTGGCAGCAAGAAACATTAAGGTTATAAAAAAGAGCTTATATTCCGTTGTGTCTCAAATACAACTGGCCAATGCCAAACCTACATGGTGCCATTAAAAAGGCCACTGTAAGACATAAGACATAAGAATTTATTTGTCATTACACTCGCAAGCGGGTGCAACGAAATGAGGTGCTCTTCCACAAGTAAAACTGGACAAACACCACTAAAAAAGAAAAAAAAAATTAAACTAAACACAACCAACCATACAATAATCTCTATACAATTTAAAAATGTAAATACCCCATTACTCTCAGCCATTTAATTCCACAAAAATCTTATGACCCTGCATTCAGACTCAAAACTGCACTTGGATAAAAACTGTTCTTAAATCTGGTCGTCCTTGTTCTTAATACCCTGAATCTCCTTCTCGATGGTAATAGTTCAAAGAGCTGATGTCCCGGATGAGAGGAGTCATTCAATATGTTAAGTATCTTCCTCCTACATCCATTCCTATACAGTTCTTCCAAAGAGGGGGAATGAGCAGTGTTAGGGATAACATTGTTTACCCTAACTGTTTTGGGTAAAAATAATAAATATGGTATCATGGTTTGTTAGTTAAAGTGTGTGTAACTTTAACTGCAAGAATGTAATTAAGGGTGTGGTTGTAAAAGCACTATATAAGAAGCGAGGCAATTCCAGCTCGCTCTCTCTGACTTACTGATCCCTAATTACTGGATGGATTGATGACTGCGTTCTTGCCGAAGAAGGAGTGTTGATATTTTCTCAACGGAGAGAAAATAAAGATTGGACAGATTTATTGTAAGTGAACTGACATTGGCTATTCAACACGGACTTTGCAAATAGTGTATCCCCTTGACAAGACTTGACTGAAATTGATATATGACTAATGGACCGTTACATTTGACTATGCTATAATTCTTAAATGGAATAAACTATATTTTTGATAGCACAAGCATATCTGTATTTTTACTGCGTGTTAACTAGAAAACTTATCTCACACATTTACCTGTCTTCCTATCTGACTTCGCTGCACGTTCTGTTTAGTTTGTTTTCCTTAACACCCGTTGGGGAATCCAGGCTTAACACTCAGCCAATGATGTTTTGGGCCGTCTTGATCACCCTCTGAATTGCCTTTTTCTCTGCCACTGTGCAGCTCGAGAACCACACACAGAGACAGTAGGATAATATACTCTCAATTGAACTCCGATAGAAGGTAGTCAGTAGACTCTCAGCCAGTTGTTGTTTCCTAAGAATCTGCTTCTGCTCTAGGCCACCGCGCCACTCTTCAAAAGCATGCAAATGCAAGTAGATAAATAGGCACCACTTCGATGGGAAGGTAACAGTGTTCGGTGTGCTTTTGCTGGCCACACGACCACAGAAAATATATTTGCACAACGCTGGCACCAAGAAACAGAGATCAGCGCCATCCTCTGGACACAACGGATAAGAAAACCTTTACCTTTTTATTTTATATATATAAAAAAAAACCACAAGTAGTCCTCACCTTACAACACTTCATTTAGTGACCGTTCAAAGTTACAACGGCAACTGAAAAAAAGGGACTTAGGGACCGTTTTTCTTACTTATGACCCATGGCCTCATGATCAAAATCCAGACCCTTGGCAACGGATTTGTATTTATGACGGCAACATAATGTGATCCCGGTGATCCCCTTTGGCCACCGTTCTGACAAATCCATGGGGAAGCCAGGTTCACTTAACAACGATGTGACTCACTTAACAAATGCAGCGATTTGCTTAACCGTGGCGAGGAAAGTAGTTAAATTACAGCACCAACCCAAAAAAAGTCACTTAACCCAATGGTTCCCTTAGCAACGTAAATGTTGTGGTCGTATGTTGAGGACTATACCTGTAGGTCTGAGCCATCAGAGGGGTTTTTCAACAGGTTTACAAACTCAGCAAGGACTGACCTTCCGTAGTTTTTCTAACAGGACGGGGATTCCAGCCAAGCGTTTGATGGCTCTCTGGTAGTCCCGATACCGTAGCGCCAGTTGAACGAGCTCCAGATCTTGAGTGCTGACCGCCTCCTGCAACACTGCAACACGAAAAGGAGATAGTTGTGGTCCGCCAGCGGCCCGTGGAGCCAGCAGACGGTGGGGAGGAACATGGGCCAGTCCTGGATTCTGGGGAGGGCTCGGACGAGGGTCCTGCGTCCGATACAGAGATGGGGTCAGGGCCATCTGGGAGTCATGTGCGGACTTCGGAGCCTCCAGAATCTGACATCAGCGAGGCAGAGGAGCAGAGGGAGCCTGTTCCCAGTGTGCATATGCACAGAGCTGCCAGAAGGCAAGAACAGTTAGGACAAAAGGGGCGACTCGGGAATAAAGCTTGGAGATGATTGGCCCCTCCCATAAGACGTAAAGGAGGAGCAAAGGGACAGGAGCCCTTTGCAGGAAGCAACTTTGTTCGTACTGGTCGGTTTGGAATCTGAAGCTCCGTGTTGACTTTGTGCTCCGTTTGGCCTCGTATAACTAATTGGCAATTTAGGCGTTGGCAGCATTTCAAGGGAGATAAAGGTGGGTGCTGATCAGCCTTATCTCGAGGGACTTTGGCAGACTTCCATGGGGCTATTTACAAACTGTTTGAGACTCATTACGGGCTGGGAATGATTAAAATTCACAGCCGTTGAAATCAAGAAAAAAGTGTGTCTGTTAGTGTCTCCCTAAGCCTTGGTCAGAACAGCGATCAGGAGCCGAACTACATGGTCCTCAACTTACAACCGTTTGTTTAATGACTTTCGTTACAAACAGCCGGGTGAAAGAAAAGTGACTCGCAATGGGTCCTCGTACTTACGACCGTTGCAGCATCCAAACAACAGCAGCAATCATACAAGCAGGAAAAGTCGTAAAATGGGGCAAAACCCACTTCACGAAATTTCTCACTTAGCAACCTAAATTTTGGGCTCAGTTGGGGCCGTAAGTTGAGGACGGCCTGTATCTCCCATACTGGGCCTGCTTGCTGTTTTTTGGGCTTCAAAGACCCTTGTCCAAGAGCAGTCTACCTTTTAGCTGTCGGGCTGATCCCTGGAGGTTTTTAAGAAGAGACTGGACAACCACTGTTGTTAGAGGGTCTCTCCTGCTTGAACAGGGGGCTGGACTAGATGACCTCCAAGGTCCCTTCCGGCTCTTTTCTGATTGATTGATTGATTGATTGATTGATTGATTGAAATGGTCTAGGGCCTCCTGCTTGAGCAGGGGGCTGGACTAGATGACCAAGGTCCCTTTCCATCTCTATCCTGATTGATCCCCATGACCACAGGATCAAAATGTGCGTGCTTGGCAACTGGAATGTTCCAGCAGTCCTCTCACCTTACAACAGTTTCGTTTAGTGACCGTTCCAAGTTACCACGGCACTGGAAAAAAAAAAGCGACTCAGGAGCCATTTTCACACTTACGACCGTTGCGGTGTTTCCCCCCGTGGTCAGGTGATCCAAAATCAGACCCTTGGCCACTCACTCACATTTACAACAGTCGCCGTATCCCCCGTTTTGTGACCTCCCGACAAGCAAAATCAAGGAGGAAGCCGGATTCACTTAACAACTGTGTTAATAGCTTAACACTTTGCTGTGATTCACTTAGCGATGGTGGCAAGGAAGGTGGTAAAAACGGGGCACAGCTCACTTCACACATTTCTCACTTAGCCACAACATCAATCTTGGGCTCATTTGTGGTCGTAAGTCGAGGACTGCCTGAATGAACAAACCGGGGGTGGGGGGGGTGGCAGGTGCACAATGAAATCGTTGTGTCTTTTTTGCATGTGTTCTGCGTGCAGCACATTTTAAAAAGGGGGCAGGGCTCTGTTTTAGAGTCACAACCTCCATTTCTTTACACTTTCACACCATTCAATATACAAAGTCAAATAAATTCCTAGCCACATACACCCCTCTCATTCCTCTCTTTCTCTCTTTCTCATTCTCATTTTCTCTCTCTCTCTCTCTCTCTCTCTTTCTCTCTCTCCCTCATTCTTTCCCTCTGTCTCATGCTCTCTCTCATGCTCCATTTTCTCTCTCTCTCATTCTTTCCCTCTCGTTCTCCTTCTCATTCTCTCCTTCTCCCTCTCCTTCTCTCTCTATTACCTTCTCTCCCATGCTCTCTTTCTCATTCTCTCTTTCTCATTCTCTCTTTCTCATTCTCCCCCTCCCTCGTTCCCTCTCATGATCACATT